ATAAGCCATGGCCAGAGACAGATTGACCGTGGTCAAGAATCCATATAGACATCGCTGGTCCAATAGATGGTTTCTACTATTTGATTATAGTAGACAGTTATAGCAAATGGCCAGAAGTGTTTCGTTGCAGAAGACCTACTTCTGAAACTATCATAAATTGCCTCCATGAGCTGTTTGCTCGCTTCAGATGGGTTGATTGTCTAGTCACTGATAATGGGACGCAATTCACATCTGCGGACTTTCAAGAATTTTGTGAAATTTTTCAAGTTAAACATATCAAATCCCCACCATATCACCCAAGATCAAATGGGCAAGCGGAGAGATTTGTAGATACACTCAAAAGAGCGTTAAGGAAAGCATATGACGTGCCAACAGAATAGACGTTGCAACAATTTTTACAAGTATATTGAATTACACTAAACAGTGCTACGCCATCGGCATTATCACCCGCGGAAGTGATGTTCGCCCGAAAAATCAGATCAGTATTTAACAAATTGCTACCAAAACGAACAAAGCTAATACCAATGTCGTGCGTACCAAAAAGAAAATTTCACCCAGGAGAGAGTTTTTTTTTTTTAAAGATATATAAAAACAATACGTTCTACTGGGAGCAAGGTAAAATTGAAAAAAGAATCAGAAACATGGTTTACATAGTACAGGGCCTGAAATTCTCACATAAAAAAACATGTAAATCAAATAAGAAAGAGGCTGTTAGATGATTCTAACTGTCCACCTCAGGAAGAAGTGATGGATACAATATTCGACACATTTGATATGCAAAGGCCACAAACAATGTCTGAACCACGAAAATCGACCAGGAAAAGAAAAGTCACAGAGCCTTTGATAATAAATCCAAAGAGAAAAAAATACTAAAGACCCCTGCGACGCAAAAGCTTTGGAAGTTGGGTGTTATAGAAACTTACCTATAATGATAATGGACTCTTCCTGACACTATAAATACTGCGCCTCTCAAGAGGTATAATGAATGAATGGTGTAACGAGTCGAGACAATATTAGTTCACTCTAAACCAGACGGACAGTCATTACTAACACCTTCAATTTCTTGTACTATATTTCTGTTGTAATATATCTTTGTTATTCTACTCTTGTGTTTGTGGTGTTCTTCCTTGGTTCTAACCTTGGACCATAACTGTGGTGCGAGGATATTGGACCATAACACAAATGTTACCTGATGACCAAAGAAATTTGAAATATAGTGTTATCTTGATGACATGTCTACCATCTTCAAATGATTTAATTGGAAGCAGTACTTATTGAATACTTTTTTTTAGTTTTCTCAAAGAAGATTACTTATGCCACTTTTTGCATACCCTTGAGCATGACATTACTTTGTTTGTACGGAGATAAGTCTTGATATTGTTAGTGATAATTCATTTTTACTTATTTTACAGTATCTATTATTCTGTGTTTTTATTATATATATATATATATATATATAATATATGTGCAACTTCTGCTACATAGTTGCACCAGAGAAAGAGAGCTCAATGGCTTATTAACTGGCAGAGCCTTAATATTTCTAGGGTAATTCCTGGTAAACTGTTGCCGACAACAAATAAATTTCATGCATTTTCATGCAATTATCGAGCAGTTGGCAACAGTTATTTGTGAAAATGGGCAAGTTCAAGATGTTACAAGGATAGCTGATGTGTACATACCATGCACACACCAACCAAACTCACTGAGGAGGATGGATGCTCATTTAGCCAAAGTGAAAATGCTGTAAAATCACAATTATTTGAAGAAAAAAAATTCAAACACCAGAAAAGATTTGCGGGTGTACTGGGAATATACTCAATATCATTGGAAAGAGTAGCACCTCAGCAAAGAAGCATACTGCTAAAAGCAAAATAGTGCTTAACAATACCAGATTCTCAAAGTGTCTAATGATGGCTTATAATTAATATGATACAGCACATAATTATATTAATTTCATGATAATACATGAAACTTTTAGTTGGAGTCAGCCACTGTTCACCAGGTATCTGTCTGTGCGTGCACACACACACACTGATGTAAATGACTGAATGTTGTTTTCTGTATTATGTATTGTTAGCTATTTTCAATGTTATGCTTTAAGGGCTATCAACTCCAACTGGTCTATCTGGCCATAAAGTTTTACAGTCACTAAAACATTCTCTCATTCACAGTACTTTATCTATAAACTACATCATTTTTTTTTTTCTAGAGAAAAAAAATCTTGTAAATTTTTTTTATTTCTTTTTTAAATTGAGCAAAAACTGAAAAAATATTGAACTAGGCTATCAGTATTTGTCATTCTAGTAGCTAAGTTGATAATATGAACTTTTTTGTCAATTTAATTCCCTGCCAACAAAGGGAGAACTGAAATTGACTATTTCTTTGTGTTTATATTAACATTTGAAATATCTACTGATTTTTTTTTTTCTTATTTGTTAGTTTTATTTTCATGATGCATCACTGTATCTGCCAGTAAATCATTGTATTTTAAATGGGGAGGAAATAGCCTGATTTGTATATAGGCACCTAGTTTTAAGCTGTTGTGAAAATGGTTAAATATCGGTTCTAATATGCAACATAATTCTTATTGGAATTAGTTGTCCGGGGTAAAAGGATAAACTACACTCGAGAGCAAGGCTTTTGATTAGAAGGTTTTGAGGAGCATGGAACCACCTCTTAATTGCTGGTGTTTCTAGGTCCACTCTGACCCAGTGGGGTGGTAGCACCTGTCAGGGTCCCAGCTATGGGCAAATAGTACCCCCCCCCACCACCACCACAAAAAAGGGGTTCAAAACACAATGAAAGTATAAAAATAATATCAGCAATTTTTTTTTTTTTTTTTTTTATTACCAGCAATAAAAATCTTGTTGGCATTTAAATAACCCATTGAGGTTGATATGTCCTAAAACAAACCAAACTGGAATTAGTATTTATTTGTATTGTCCTTTGTGTTATAATTGTTAAATTATCCATTTAAATATGAAGTTCCAGGGTTTTATAATAAAAGAAAATTTGGTGTCTAATCTATTTACTATAAAATAAATTTCTTAAACTTACAGTACCTCTAAGCATTAAATTTCATTAAATTTAAAAATTATCATTAGTTCAAATATTGAATAACTTTGCTAATTTTTGAAAACTGATTAGAAGTTTGTAAATTTAAATATTAGTAACTTGTTTTATAAGAATTTTCACACTTCTGTCTTAAAATAATTGTTGAAAACTGAAACAAAGAACAAATTAAACATTTCTGAAGTCCATTGACTAAGTTTTAAGGAAAAGTTTGTTCTTAGATCTGCTATTCTCTGAATTGATATAATTATTTCAATATTGGAAAATGTTTCTATTACACAATGATCAATTTTTTGTTTCCTGTAAATAATTGAAAAACTAAATTCAAATATCAATTTTGGAAGATTTTGTGGTTCAAGACTTAAAAAAAAAAAAAAAAAAAATGATGCTATTGTGATCAGATTTACAGTTTTTACAAAATTTATAATCATCAGATTAATGCCCACACTGCCAAAAGACATTTTATTATTACTGCTACTATTAAATGGATAATTTGTGTTTATTTTTCCTGTGACTAAATGTGGAAGAAAATTGACTATTTTCACATTACAACTGGATGAACCTTCTTGTAAATTTCTTGAATATCTAATTTAAAGTCTTCAGTTATTTCATTAGCTCAAATACTGAATAACTTGTCTGCACTTTAAAAACTATTTTCATTTTATGTAAATGGGACTGGTTTCTAGTTTAAACACTATTAGCATCAGTTTATCTACTGTGAATCTTTACTGATTAGTTCTACAAAAATTGTGCTTTTTGTTTTGGCTATGAATTGAAAAGCTAATTTTCTCATTGCTGCCTTCGCTCATTTGACTTTTTACCAATGCACTTGCTTTGAATGATCAATATTTTTGCTAAAAGAGGATAAGTTCTCCTTCTATTCAAAACTGAAGTGCTAAGTTGTTTACTGCTTAGCCTTGTCCATCCCTCCTGCGGAGACAGATTGAAAAGAAAGCTGCTATACTTTGGCTTTGATGCTTCCAGCTGTAGATATCTATTTCATGTGCAGATCCATATTCATTAGTTGTCTTCTTTTGAGTATTGCAATGTGAGCCAAGTGCAAATTGAATACTGGCAGTCATTATTTAAGGTAGGTATCATTTTTGCAGATCCATTGACTCCTTCAACTTTCTCTCTTTTTTTTTTTTTTTTTTTTTTTTTTAAATTTGGTATAAATGGTGGTGGCAGTGATAATAATGACTTGTTTGTAAAAACTGCCTTTTGTAATTAACATTTGTGGCCTTAAGGGTGAGAGTTTTTGGAATTGGTAAAATTAGAGAATTTAGAAGCATTACAAGTGTGTGTGTGTGTATATATATATATATATATATATATATATATATATTTACTTATTTAAAAATAATGTTCCATTGCTACACAGGAATTACCATATTTCAAAAACGGAAGCTAAAAACTTCAAATTCAATTATAGAACTTACTGTTCTTTCTCTTTATATATAAGTAAAAGGTTTATCACCTAGCAGGTGTTGCCTTCAGCATCCTGATTCCACAGTTTCATAGGCAGCCCCGCCAGGAATTACACCATCCACATGTCGGGGGTTATTAGCATCTAACTGCTTATACTTCTTGATATTTTTTTTTTTTTTTTTTTTTCATATTGTATGTTATTTACTAAGGTTTTCTTAGTTAATTGAAATTTGTTTCTGTTTGAATTCTACATTTTATTAAAAAATATAAAATTATACTTTCTTCCTCTAAAAATGCTTAAGAATTACTATAAAATGTTCAGAATATTGTACAATTGAACTTTACTAATTTTTCCCCCAACTTTATACTTTTGAAGCCAGCAATATTATCTATTCTTTTGACAATGGGAATAATATCCATGAAAGATTTATAAATTTAAAATACTAAGATTTTTTTTTTTTTTTTAAGGTAACTGATAATTGCTTTGTCTTCTCTTTTAGGTGATAGTATTGAACTTGTGAGTACAAACAAGTTTTGGACCAGTTTATTTACAGAATACTTCATTGTAGGAAGTTTCAATGATGACACTCGAGATGATATGGTATTCTATGTTCGTAAATCACATATCAATAGAGGTAGAATTCCACAGATCCAGGTGAGAATCTATAGACTTTTAATTTTTTTGTTTTAAATTAAAAATAAAAGGCTTAAAAAATACTCATATTACCCATTTTTAAGTTACCTTTAATCTTAATGTGTACCTGTTTATTTTTGTTTTCCATTTTGAAGTATGGAAATATTACTCTTTCTTATTGAGTACAATTCAAATTAACCTCTATCTCCCATCTCATTTTTTTAATTTGCTTGTATTTTCTGTTCCTATAAATCTTGCTCAGATTCAATAAAAATAAATTCCAGCATAATAATTTTTGATAATATTTTAACTTCAAACTTTTATTGTTACTTTATAGTAGAAAAGCACATTATGGTCTAAGGTTCTCTTCAAAGATTTTGCTGATGTGACAATAAAATGGCAAAAACAAGCTCCTTCTCCCTAGTAAGCAGTCTAATGTTTATAATTATGCTCGTAGCATTACCATTGTGAAAGATGATCCCTTTTTGGTTTTCAGAAAAAGCAACCCTTCCCACACTAGCTGCTTTAACTGTTGGTATTAATCCTGCAGTGATTAATAATCAATGTAATAAAAGTATATCCCATCATAAACTCAGAATCCTTCTTGGCTTTTAAGTAGACCTGCCACTGATGCCTTTGCTTATCATGCTCTGGTAATGACTGAATCCAGCAAGACGGTAATGCAATGATACACGTTGTTTTTGATTCTTTGCTGACAATACATATAAAACACTCTATCCAATCTTTGACAGTTTCCCAAGCCTTTTCATTTCGTAATAGGCAGTCATATGGCTAATTTTGAAGTGCCTGCTGAATTCCCTCTCTAATAGTTGGGTTAGCATCAACAGCTGTTATTGCTGTGTCAAAATAAGTTATCTTGGACAACCTTCTCTTGATTCGGGCTAAAATCCTCCTTTCTGAAACAGGAAGACCATATTTTAAGAGTTCTTTCATACACTATGCTATCAAAATTTGTTGCCATTGTATTTATATTATTACCTCTGTGAAGAGAATGGCTTAATGAATGCGTTCTTTAATTGGAAAAAACATGGCATTGATTTGAATGCTTTTCTTGAAATAAGTTTTACAATTTGAAAGAAAATGAGATTTGAATTTTCCGTCTGTCAATCCAGGTAACCTTCTTGGAATTTTAAACTGAACTTTTATTTAATCTATGGGGCTTAGATTGTTCTTGTTTTTGCTGTTCATGCCTAGGAATATCATCTTATTTTTAATACAGTTCAGTTATTTTTTGTTCTGTTTCCACTGGGACTATACTACCTGGCCCACAGATTGAACTCTCTATACTCACCAAATTCATGCATCAAAACTTTAGTCCACTAGGCCATTCTTCTGAAGATTAAATTTATGAATTTTGTGACATTAGTAATTGTGAGTTCAATTTCTGGGATGCATAGTCAAAGTGAGCAATAACTGAGCATTTCTAAAAACAAAGCATGATATCCCTAGACATTTAATCTATCCTGATAAATTAAATAAATCCCTTGAAATCTATGTAAATGGACAGATATCTGAAGAATGTTGGAGGGTTCAGCAACTAAAATGTGATAACAAAAATGAGGACATTAGTTTGATGTAAATAACTCCTCATTCCAGAAATTCAGGCAGAAAATGATATATTTACTGTCAAATATTAATTGTAGATTTGACTTTATTAAATCTTACTAAAAATACTCTGAAAAACTAGATGGAACTTTCATTATAACTTGATATATAAAGTTGAATGTCTTCTGTTGCATGTTCTTAAAAATACGGCCTGACATCACATTCAAAAAATAACTTTCCTCTCTCTTGCCTTAAATATTGATGGGTAAAGATTTTATTTCCCAACAGTCTGTTTGCAGAAATAATAAACAATGTAGAAATGATTTTTTTTTTTTTTTTTTTTTTTTTGTGCATGTTATTGATGTATAACATCAAATTCTGGTTAAAGTATGACTGGTTAGTTTTGTTAAAGTGGCTCCAATGAATTCTCCTTTGACTCTAAATTATATTGGACAACTTGAGCTACTATTTAAGTTTTTTTTTTTTATATTAATTTAACTTTGTATAATTAACCTTGGTATTAACATTTAATCTTTTTTTAACATTTTATCTTCAGTAAAATCTATTGTCATGAATTTAATACAAGTATTGTAGCTTTGTACTTAATGTTTGTTTCGATAAAAAGAGAAATGGAGTAAATGATTGCCTCTTCTTCATCTGCCTTTTAAATAAATCGATGATAAAAGGTTCTGAATCTTTTTTTTTACTTTGTACCTTCAACTTCAGACTTTTTAACCTGTGTTTTTAAACATCATCTAGGGTTTTTGCTTTGATCAAGTCCTTTTAAACCTTATCCACCTTGGATAATTTTTTTTTTTTTTTTAATTTATTTAATCATCTCGCCCCAAGCAAAGTGGGGATACTACTAGTACACAGGGGTAACAGAGAGTGAAAGAGAGAAAAGACTGGGTATAGAGGTGATTGAGGAAAGGATAAAAGCTGAATGTAGTTCTAGAAGATGGCGATTGACATTGCATTTAAATTTTTGAAGATTGTAGTTTTCAGGGAAGCAAGTATATGGAATGAAAAAAAAAAATTGTCAGAGCATTAACTATGAAAATATTTGTAGAAAAGACAGTGAGAAAGTGACTGAAGTCGAGATGCCAAGTCTGGATAAATTACATTGCTGATCCTTTGAATTTTGTCAAGAACCTCGAGGTGCGTAGCAAGAGCACCTGACCAGATATGACAACAGTAATCAATGCATGGATGAATGGTAGATTTGTAAATGTGCAAGATAGACTCTGACGAGAAAAAAACCTACTGGCATGACACAGTTACCCAACTTTACTTGCAATAGATGCAGCTATTGATTTGATGTAGGTGTTCCACTTCAAGTCAGTTGAGAACATGAGACCAAGAGGTGTTGCTCTCCATGAATCTAGCATCAGCCATTCTGATAGCGGGCTAGAAAGTTTTGCTATGGTGGTAACAAGCCATTTCCTGCAAGAGTTAACCACTGATTGGAGGTCCTTTTCAAGAGCAGTGACCAGGTTGACTTTGTCAACTATGAGGGATTTGCTCTTGAAACGGGAGTAAATAGTAGTGTTATCACCATAGATGCCTACTTGGGAACAGATGACATCAAGGAGATCGTTGATGAAGATCAGAAACAGTGTAGGACCCAGGATAGAGCCTTGGGAAGACATCCACATTTGTGTGAAAGGATCTGGAAGTGAGCCTGTTCAAAATGACCTTCATTTTACGATTTGATAGGAATGATTGGATTAAATCAAACACGTCCAGTAATACTGTATCCCTGGAGCTTACATAGAAGACCAGCATGCCAAACCCTGTCAGACGCCTTTGAGATATCTAGAGCCACAGCTCAAGTTTCGCTGTTATTAGGAGCTTGATATACATATTCAGTAGTAGCTGTTAGCACATCAGTGGTAGATCTGGCAAAATGGAAGCCATATTGTTTGTCAGAAGTTTGAGAGGTAAAATGCTTAATTACATTATCATTGATTTTCTTTTTTTTTTTTTTTTCTTCAAAAAGTGGTAGGAAACTAATGGGGCAAATAATTAGAGGGGTCAGAAGGTTCTCCAGAGTTCTTAAAAATAGGAACTATAGAGGAGGACTTTTAACAAGCAGGAAGCAGAGAGGCAATAGTTGTAGAGTTTGGAGAGAACTGGGGCCAGCTCAGAAGCACATTTCTTTAGGATGACTGCTGGGATCCTGTTACTTTTGCTTGCCTTATGGGAGTCTAATGTAGAAATAATGTCTGTGACCTGTGATGTGGTTATGCACATACCACTCGGTAGAGCCTCTGTTCTAGAAGGGAAATCAGGTGTGGGTACTCTAATTGAGTCAAGTGCTGAGTTGGAAGAGAATTTCTGAGCAAAGCATTCAGCCTTATCTGCTGTAGATGTTGGGACTTTGAATTGATTGAATAAAGGAGGGATGGAGAATTTGTTGTTGTTCAGCACACTCTTGAGAATGATCAATAATCTTTAGAACTAAACTTGCAAGTTGCAATATGTTGTTTCATTTTATCAGCAAACAGTAACTTCACTTCTTTGAGGACACGCTTACACTCATTATGAGCAGAGACAAAGAGACGTCTGTTGCAATCAGATGTGTCGCTCTGGTACAGCCAGAAGAATTGATTCCTGTTGGCTATAGCTGCTGAGTATGTAGGTGAGATCCAAGGAGATGAATAAGGTTTAACCTGGTATTTTCTTGCTGGAATGAAAGCATTGATGCCAGCTTTCACCCAGGAGATGAAATCGGATGTGCATTTAGAAACAGGATGATTTTAAAAACTACATTCCAGGGGATGTCATGAAGGAAGTCCCAGAATGAGTCCCAATCCACATGTTGACAATGGAAAGATATTCAGTTGATACGAGGTTCTTGACTGGTAGGGGAGTGGAAAGATATGTTTACAGACACTACTGCATGATCAAAGTTGCCAAGAGGGCAGAGCTGCAAAGTACAACATGAGTCTGGGATAGAGGTCAGTGACTGTGTTTAAGCCACCTAGTATGATGGGCATTAAAGTCACAAACAAAAATATATTTGCAGATGTGTGTAGGGAGATAGCCTTGTCTATATTATCAGAAATACTATCTAGCATGCAACAGTCATGAGAGGAAGTGGAATGGTAGAGAAAGAAGAGATAGCTGACTGAATTAAGTAGAGACAGATGGAGACACATGTAAGAGTGGTGTGGAGATTCAAGAGAGAGTTCCCTAGCTAGTGGCAGATATTCATGGACATAAACACCCAGGCTCTGCATGTGGACATTAGTCACTCTTAAGGAGAGGAAGATATTCAGGAATCAAGAAATTGGAGGATTGAAGAGTTAAGATTGGTTTTTCAGAAAGCTAGGATGTCTGGAGACTTTTCAATGAGGAATGATTCCACACTGCAGAAGTTTATATGAATACTATGAATGAAAGAAAGGTTGAAGAGGTTTACGTGATTTTTGTTGAGCTAGTTTAGATTTATATCTTTGGTATCTTATTGTCATGGTGTGTTGTTTTGGTAAGGAAAGGCCTAGGGTAGTGGTAGCTGTCGGTCATCTAATGTAACATGTGCAGGAAGGGAACTGATGCAGACTGCAACATAGTGTGGCCTTGGGGTTGCCCACCGAAGGTGCTTGCAGGGACACCTTTCTATGCATGACTTGGTACTGCAAGAACCCTGATATTATGAAACTGTTGATCAGACCAGCATCTCAAGACACTACACAATAGTTTGGGCCCCTAACTACCAGTCCAGAACAGCAACAAGAAAACTGCTAACCTGGTACCCTCGGTATGAAGAGATGTTGCCACCATCCTCGCTTATCACAAAAAGTTCGACACCACCACTATTAAGTCCTGAGAAAAGGAATGGAATCAGGGAACCCCCTTCTTAAACAGGAAACAAGTTATGAGCCTCTACTCCTGTTCAAGAGAAGTAGGACTGGGCTATAGAAATACCTTTCTCCTAAACAAACAAAAAAAAAAAAACAGTTCTGATTTCCAGTCATTTTGAGGAATGAACATTCAGATAACTAATTTGGAGAGTCAATCAGCAGCCATAGAACTTTTGAGCATGCAATGTTTAACTGACATTTAGTATATGAGGAGGTAATTGGAATGGGATAACAAAATTGGTAAGCCACATAATTTTCTTTGTAAGGTAGCTGGTCAGTTTGATAGTGTAGCAGTGAGCTTGACACTATGTGGACAGAGTAGACTTATGACACTTCTTGCCAGTTGGTCCCTGATCAATTCCTACACTGCTGATTGCTGAAGTGGTCATTCCCATCTGTGCTCTCCTCTGCCACATTGTGCTTTTTGATCTCAAAACAGGCAAAGACTGTCATTAGCAATTGTAGCATTGGTTCAAACCACAGAAAAGTTATGTCACAAGGAAAAAAGTAAACAATCTTCTTTGCAGACAAAATAAAAAAGACTGGAAATTTTTCAGGTCAATTTTCTAAGTGGTTTATATCATTCTTTGTACAGAGATATTAACCCTTGCCACTTTGAATTCAATCGTGACACTTTGCTCATTTTAGCTAAGAACAAGGCTGAAGTTAAGAGTTCTCTTTTGCAGCAAGTTCTGTGGGCTTCAGCGGCGTGGTAATGTCTCCTTTGCTTCTCCAGTTCACTGCAACTCTGTCTTGGTTGCTTCAGCAAATCTGCTTATATTGACTCTTACCCAACGGGCTGATGTGTTTGGGGACTTGGGGTTTCCCCAGTCTTCCAAAAAGAGTTCTTTGTTGTCTGGTTTTAGAAAATTAATTATCCTTCCAAATTTGGCAGTCCTTTTTTCATATGACTCATTTATGCCTCACACCATTATGTAGGCAATTCCTCTGTCCCTCTTGGTATCTCAACTAAGCCTTTCACCTTGATTGTCATTTTGACAAATCCAATTTTTAAACTTCGTTGGTGAAACGCTTAACTTTTGGTCATTAACCATAATTATTGCTTTAATTTTTGTCAGCACATTTTTCCCATTATGAGATCTTTACAATCAGAAATTTACCAGCTGTTTCCTCTGACTGCTATTTGTAAGTATTTGGTTTCCATATCTTGTTTGTTCAATTGCACTTATGAACCCTGGGCTTGGTCTTTACATAAAGAAATTCTATTTCTCGATTTGTTTACAAGTTTCACTTTTTGATAGGTGGAATAAATCAGTTTCTCAATTCTGCCTCATCTTTAAAAATTACCAAATATTATCTTCTCACTCAACTTTTCTTTTCCAGCTAATCCTTAGATGTTTTCATAACTTCCAATTTAAGTCAGTGGTATCAATTGCCAGCCTAGCTTTCCCAGATAGCCTCTTTGGTGATATCTTTCCCCAAAACAACAGTTTCTTTCTTCAAGCCATCTCTGCTTTAAAAAAAAAAAAAAAAATAGACTTTCAAAAATAAAAGCAATTTTGCTTCTTCTCTTAGTTTATCATTCCATTCTTTAATCCTTTTCATCTTTTCCAAGTTATATCTCAACTTAACACTTTTTCGTTTTGTACCAAAGTCATATTCCACCTTAGCCTTTTTTGACTTTTACCTGTGTTACAGACTGATATTGTTTCAATGGTGCTTTGATACAGTTATGGTGACTTTGTGGTGAATTTTTCTAATTTCCATGGCTATCTCCCACTTGGAAGGGGAGGTGACAGTTGAGTTGGTGTGGGGATGAAGGACTGCTTTACTTAACCTATTTTTCTTTTGGCTTCTATCAAAGGAATTTGAATTCTACCTATATGCCAAAACCAACCAACCAACCACAAATGAATGTGTGTGTCTCTCTCTCTCTCTCTTGTTGGGAAAACTGTCAAGCCACTCAGAATGAACTCTCATAAAAATAGGCTAGCACCTACATACGTGTGTGTGTGTGTGTGTGTGTATATATATATATATAGTAGCGTCCAAAACTAAGGGACAAAATTTTAAAACCTAATATTTGTTAGAAATAACAACTGTGAAAAGCTGAAATTTTGACAACTCGTAGTCGTTATCATCCATAATAACATACTAAAATTTGAATCATTTGCAAAGGATAGAAAAAGAATTATAACATTTATTTTCAAAATAGGATTGTCCAAAAGTAAGGGACAAAATTGAGAAAAACAATGTAAACAGTATGCTATATTCAAATTTTTTGATTTCCTCTAAAGAATAAGTCTTACTTAGTCATTTGTAAATGTTGCATCAGCCGGCACCATGGCGAAACGCCAAAAACTTGATTACTCTGTGAGACAAGCTATTGTGAAGCTACATAAGGAAAAGCACACCATTAGAGAGATTTCAGAGAAAGTGAAACATTCCAAGAGTGTTGTAGGCAGGGTTGTTAAATCCTACAATGATACTGGCAAAATAGTTAGTGCTTTTAAAACCGGCAGACCCATAAAACTTCAGCAAGAGAAGATCGAATAATGCAGCGTATGTCATTAAAGGACCGTTTTAAGTCTTGCACAGAAATTAAAAAGGGTTATGAATAGTACCTCATGTGTTAATGTGTCAAGACAGACTGTTTGTAGACGACTGCAAGAAATAGGGCTGTTTAATCGAACCCCAGGAAGAAACCACTTGTTAGTTGAAGAATAAGAAGAATTAGAGTTTGCAAACAGGTATGTAAACACATGAAAATTGGGCAAAAAGTATTTTTCAGTGATGAAAGCAAGTTTAATTTATTTGGAAATGATGGAAAAAAACAATGTAAAGAGACGTATTGGTGAAGATTAAGTGCAAAGTGTACTAAGAAAACTGTCAAGTTTGGGGAAGAAGCGTCATGGTATTTGGAATGTTTTCTAGCCAAGGTACAACGCCTCTTGTCCACTTACAAACTCGTGTAAATTATCAGATCTATAAAACATTGTTCAAGATCATGTTGTGCCAATCATACAGAACTCAGGTTTCGATAGGGCTACCTTTATGCAAGATAATGCCCCATGTCACAAGGCAAAGGTGGTAATGAGTTACCTTAGCGAGCAAGATTTGGAAATTATGGATTGACCACCGCAAAAGTCCTGACTTAAATCAATAGAAAATCTTTGGAAGACCTTAGGGAGTGAAAGTTATGGAAAGAAATCCCACTAACACGGAGGATTTGTGGGTGAAGCTTCAAGAAGAGTGGTCTAAAATTAGTATCGAGGATTGTCAAGAACTGATTCGTTCTTGTAGTCGAAGATATGCAGCTGTCATTGAGAGCAAGGGCTCATTTACTAAATATTGATTGTACATGTATTTTTGTTTTTTTGCCATTTACATTGTTTTTCTCAATTTTGTCCCTTACTTTTGGATGTTCCAAATTTGAAAATAAATAAATAATTGTTATAATTCTTTTCTATCCTTTGCAAATGATTCAAATTTTAGTATGTTATTATGGATGATAACGACTACCAGTTGTCAAAATTTCAGCTTTTCACAGTTGTTATTTCTAACAAATATTAGGTTTTAAAATTTTGTCCCTTAGTTTTGGACGCTACTGTATATGGCAAGCATAAAGAAAAAGTTCTAATTTTTATAAGTTTTGATAATTATTGGTTTAGATATTTATTGAGTTCTTTTATTGACAACATTCTGCCTGCCTTTACATGTTAAATTATATAATTTGATATGTATTAATAGGTGCCATTATTGTAGTTTCTGTTGTATATAATTTTAAGAAAATAATTTTAAGTGATTGTTGTTTAGTTTCTCCTTAGCTTATTTACATTTGGGTACTGAATCCATTGTTTCATTTTTCTTTTTTTTTTTTTTTTTTTTTTTTTTTTTTTTTATATATATTTTTCTTTTATATAGTTTTATTTATGTATTGAGCAAATGGCTGATGTACATAGATATTTGATTAATTTTAAATTGTATGCAAAATGTTTAAAAATACTTATTAATACCTTATTTGTCAAGGTCATTGAGTTTGTTCTGAAAGTTGTACATGAAAGTAATAGTCTCATTCTAGAAAGTAAATTAGTTTTATGGTACATTCACTTCTCTATTATGGTCATTGAGTGTCGAAGGTCTCTAAGTTTTCATTTTTTTATCTTTATTTTTTTTTTTATTTATTCTATCCTTATGAAATATACAAAGCTTCAATTTAATCCACTGGAATTCTAGTTATAAATTAATTGTGGTTACATTATGTCAAAGATTTACTTTGAGGTATTTTTCATTTACATTGTTCTCCTTAAAGCTTTTTCCTGAAAGAAAAGCAGAAAAATACCTTTACATCTGCCTTGTATATAATGTCAAATATTTGGAATTATCTAGTATCATTTAAAATAAAATCCACACCCCCTTAAAACTAGTCTTATATACAAACTGTAACTTTAATGATTACTATTATGCCTTTATAGTAAAAGAATCCAGCATTCACACATGGTTACCTGATATGAATGACACAAGTAATTCAGTAATTGTCTGCTGCAGTGAAAATCATTTCATAAAATTAAGTGAACAGATCATCAATCTTCTTTTTTGCAGACTGAAATTCAAGTCTATCGGAGAGATTCCAAAAAACTACCAGCTCTTGTTGATCGGGGTATTGACTGGGAAGAAACTGTTTATTTAAATCTCATTCTACATCAGGTTGGTTTTTTGTTTGTGAAATTATTTGGTGGATCTTATTTATGGCAAATGACTAATCAATCAAATATTAATAATTTTCTGAAGAGAAGGAAAAGATGGCAAAAGAAAAGATGCACACCAATTTTAAGCATTAAACTGTTGTTTTTGTTTTGTTTTTAAATCTTCAATTTATACACTTTTTATTTTTAATTTGTTGACATGCTCTCTCAACTTAGCAACTAAATAGATTTTAGTTGCTTTTAGCTTTTTTTTTTCTTTTTTTTTTTTTTTTTTTTATAGACAATTTTTTATTTTATCCCAGAAAATGTTGAATTCAGTAATGAATTTGTAAAATTGATTTGAGTGTTATACAGTTCTGTAGCCTACACACATTTACATAATATGTAATTATTTAAATTTGCTTTTAAGGATCATGATACTTTTTTTTTTTTTTTTTTTATAAGTAAAGTTGTATGTCTGATAACAAAGTAATAAACTCTTGTGGGTCAAAAGGTACAACTCTCTAATATTATTTAAATATTAGAAATTTAGTCATAACTGAAAACATTTTTGATTCATCTTTCATTTCTGGTTTAATTCAAGAATGCGTGTCTAAGAATTTCAATAATAATCCTTCAATTAAGTAAACCTGAATAGTGTGTGTTTGACCGTCTCTCTATTGCTCTCTTAGCTACCATCTTATCTGTTTTAAATATTTTAATGCTCCTAATTTCCTTTATTTAAATAGTTATGAAAATCTTTCTGAAGTGAAAGGGGGTGAAATCTGAAATCATCTGGCTAACATGACGTATAACTTTCAATGTATTATTGATTTTTCTTTCCTGAATAGTATTGGGCAACAGTATCTAATTTTATCTGCATTTTCTTTCTATTCAGTTTGAATACACTGTAACATGTGCCATTTGCACACGAACAAGTGAAAAGGATCTTCAAATATTAAAAAAATTTACACAGGTATATTATTATTATTTTTTTTTTTTTTTTTTTTTTTTTTTTTTTTTTTTTTACACTATCAATATTTTTTAAATTAATATACAAATATTATGACGTGAAATGCTTTTATAATGATGATTATTATTATAAATAAGTTGGCTGTTTTTGAAAAGTCACCTATTGTGGGTAGGGAATGAAACCTGCACAAGTACCTTGATTGTATTTTTCTTCAGTAGTTCAGAAAATTGAACTTAAATTAATTGCAGTTTTTATAGTTTGTTTCCAAATTTTATATTTTTGTTAATCTGCAGTGACAATTGCTGATTTCACTGATATGGTTTCTAAAATTTTTACTGTGTTGTAAAGGTTTGTCCTGCATTTTTACTTTTTCATTTAAGTACAGTTGTCCAGGTTTTGGTAACTGTTTTGCAGTTACTTACAATTTGAAACTTTAAACAATTAGATTACTTAAACTATAAAGAGCTTGCAATGAAGTATCTTGATTCAATGAAACCTATTTAGAAAACACTTGTGCACAGAAAATTGAATTGTGGTAAATATCCATTAAATGACAAGAATCGTATTATAGACAAGATTCCTTTAATCTTAAAGAACAATGTATTTCTTTATGCTGTGTCTGTAATATCTTTTTTTTTCTTCTTTCTTTAGAAAGTTTACCCATCTCCTAGTCGAAGGCGAATGGACAGTAAAGGGACTGAGGAGGAAATTGCTTACCCAAATATCTTTTATTCTGTGGACAATTTTGAGGAGGTAAATTTTCTTTATTGCATTGGATCTTTGATTATAAACATCATCAATTCTTTTTTCTTCTTTTTCATGAAAAGAAAATGCAAACATACATTTACATATTACTTTTGATAAACTTGTAAAAAGAATTCTTAAAGATTGCGATGAAACCGCAAATGAGAATACTAGAATTATTAATTTCAGACAATATTTATCAAATTGGTATGGACCTTAAATGAAAATTCCAATTTTCTTTGAAGTTAAATTAACTCTATGGGTTGACTGATATTTCATTTAATGCAATAAGTTATATTTTTTCTCTATTATTTAAAGTTTGTATTGATCAGATATGAAACTTATTGTTCTATTTATTTTCAAATATTTAATTAATATTTTTATCTTGAAAAATTTATTTTCATTTTTCCTACTCTTAAAAGAGCTCCAGTTTGTTATGACAGCTTGAATCAATGGCGAAAAGCAAATTTCATTTTTATGCATCATGCATTTTTCTCTTCTACCTGCCATTCCTGAAATACATTAAATCTTCAGATATATTACTTGTAGTTCTTTCTATAAGTAAAAAGGAAACCGTATTCATTGGTCAAATGTGAACTTAACATTGTTTCGGACTGTATTAACATATTCAGTAAAATAGTTTGCTTACAGAAGGTCATAGCAGGGTGTTCAAAACTGGTATTTCAGTATTACATGTGACTTAAGCATACATATGCATTATATGACTTTGTTTATGAAAACCTAGATGAAAGGACTAGCTAGTTACCATCAAGAAGTCAGTAAATCAGTTGGGGAGATGAAGTATTAAAGCATTCCTACTTTTACTGCAATTGTTGGTGTTTGAACAAAATGGATTCAGTATTTGACTGAAGGAACTTCATATCTTTCATTCTAGATCTGAATAAAGAACATTAAACACATCAGAAATTTGTAACTTTTTTTTTTTTTTTTTTTACATTACAATTTATGACCTGACTCACCAAATGCATTGATAAGTTGAAACATTATGACTATTTCCCTTTAAACAAAAACAAACTGTATTAGTCGTCCTTCACATTCTGCAAAACAGCTCTTACCTGATAAGGTATAAGTTCTTCAGGGTCTGTAAAGTATTCCTCTGGAAACTGGTGCCAGTATATTAATAGTACATTTTTTAACTACTACAAATTATGTGGTGATGTTTCTGCAGCACTAACTTGGTAGCTAGCACAGTAAATTGATTTCTTGGTTTCTGAAATCATTCCCATATAACTTGTGCAGCAAGATACTGTAGCAGACTGTTTTGCCATAAGAGTTTATCTGGTCTTCTTCAATGATATTGAGATCAGTGGTATGCAACAAGTTCTTTTGATGTGAATGTCAATATTTTGTTTCATAGCAGAGAATTTCCTTAACCATCACATTGCCTCCATTGGCTTTTTGTTTATTGACGGTGCCATTACCTTTTTGATCCAGACATGCACAGTTGTTACAAGACATTGTTATTTTTGTCAAATTTTGCTACTTATGAAATTTTGATGCCTCAGCATGTAAATCCTCTATTGGAGGAAAGGGGAGTTTTCTTTCTGTGTGTAATTTACTAACCTTTATATGCTAAAGGTGTGGGTTCTTTTGTGAGGTTAACTTGCTAGCAATAGTTAATCCACTAACCATTTTGCCTCCAGCCCGTCTGCTTATTAAGCATTGCTTGGTTTTTCCACAAGTATAGAACAACCAGTCAAAATCAAATGTACTAATAATGATCTGCAAGACAAGTCATTACTTTATAAAGGTTCCCTTCTTTGCTGGCCTTAGCTTTGACAAAAGGCTACAAATATGGGGCATTTGGTAAGGATAAAACTTCCTACACTGAATTACTGGTCAAACAGCCTAGATTGTTAGCCATTACTCCAGACTAAAGTGTCCAGTAGTTTGCTAAAGTATAATCTGTTACAAGGCCATAAGTTTTAGAGCTAAAAGTGAGAATTGAACAGTCTATACCTTTTCAACTTCAAAATGATAATAAACAACTTCAAAATGAGATTTTTTTTGGTAAATTGAAAATTATTTTTTCAATTAATTTACCCCATGAGTAAGGAAATTGACTGTTCGTATTCATTATATAGATGAAGAAAAAACCAAAATACAAACAACTTAGAGGCCAAGAAAGCATTGGGTGAGCTCACAATAAAAGTAGGAGGAGAAAGTCCTGTATAGGCAAATTGATGCTGATGCTGGAGAAACCTCTACAAAAGAAGCTGAAGAAGAATTAGAAACAGCTCCAAAGAGGACTTACCTCAAGAAAACTGTAGCTGGCGAAAAAAAGGCCCAGATTTTAGCTACACCTGCCGCAGCAGGAAATTGGAAAGACCTGGCCAGAACAATTGGTGTGCCTCTGCCAACAGCTTACTGTTGGTTAGACCAGGGTGCTGATAAGTGACTCTAGGGGAGGAGCAAGAAAATATAAAATTACGCAAGAGCATAAGAATTTTATGGCCAAATTAATTGAAAACTCTCCTAGGGTTGATCTTCAAGACATTGTAAATAAGTTGGTCGAAAAGTATGAGGTTCGTGTGACGAAAGAAAGCACTTGGACTCCATGGCCTTTACTTTAAAAGCGGTTCATTATGAACCAGAAGCTGCCAATAATAATGTCAATAAGGCAAAATGTAAGGATTGTGCAGTAGCTTTATTAGAATTTCAGTGTGCCAATTCTTTATATGGATGAAACCAATGTTAATCTCCATATTTCAAGAAGAGAAGTTCGCTCTAAAAAGGACACGAGGTGCACTACAGTCGCAGCCGGATTCAGGGGAAATAACATCCATGTTATTGGATGTATTAGTAATAATGGATTAATTAATCATAAAATTAAGAGGGTTTTTTTTTAAAAAAGAGGATGCGAAAGAATGGACCAGGGAGTGCCTTAGAAAGGCAAATGAAATTTATGAAAGGGGAGTTGTCTTAGTTATTGATAACGCTCCTTGCTATACTTCAATTGAAGTTGTGGAGGAGAATGAATTTAAGCAACATCAAATTTTCAGACTTGCCCCCCCTATAGTCCGATGTTAAATCCCATTGAAAAGGTTTGGTCAGTCATTAAAGCTTTTTTAAAAAGAAGTATGGCAGACTCAATTGTTGGGATTTTAAGAGGTGATGGCCAGGGATCTTTAACTACTAAAAAATTCCGCCTCAGCAAGTTAGAAACGATGCTCTTCGAGGCAATTAATAATATTTCCCCTGAGACTTGCACTAACTTTGTATCTGGAATACAGAGATTACTTCCCTCTGTAATTAACTTAGATGATGTAATCTTTTAAATAAATTTCTTAGGAACGTTTATATTTTTTTTTATATCCCTTTTTAAGTAAAAATAAAAGAATAAATATTAAATTTATAAGTATTATATTAATTCTCATTTTGAATTTGATTATTTCTCATTTTGAAGTTGAAAAGTTATAGTTATAGACTGTGTGAAAAGCCTGCTAACCATTATGCCACAAGGTGCTCTAGCTTATTTTCATAGCTTGCCTAAAGCATCAAATACGGTTCACCCAGTGAAATGGCTATTCAATATGACTTTCTATTGATAAGTAATTGTCACCCAGACTAGCTCTTAACCCTTACTCTACCTTAAAGCAACCCAATCATCTCCACCCACTGATGCTTTCTCATGGTTTTTGCTTTTCATACCATCAATTTTTCTTCACATGACTTGTCTATTGTCAAGGTACAAAAACTTAGTTGAATTTTTTTCTTCTATAAAGACCTGTGCTTAACTATATAATTTTTGTTTTAGATAGATGAAAACTTTAACTTAATATTAATTATTGAATGAGAATCTGAAAGAATTTCTTATTTTAAATCAAGATCAGTAAGAAACTGAAAGATTTAATATTTACCAATGTAATTATAAAAAATGTTATGAAATATTTTAGGCATTTGCTGATATTATTGTGAGAGACAGTGAAATCATCTGTGTGGAACTGGTGGCCACTGACCATGATGGTAAATTTCAAGGTGTTATCTTCCTTGGTTCTATCAAATATGAAGCACTTAAAAAGGTTTATGATGCTAGAGTAAGTTTACTTTTTCTGTACTTTCATTCTAATGTCATTAAAATTGATATCATAATTTTCTACTTTTTTTTTTTTTTTTTTTTTCCTCATTGAATACATTGACGAAATCTGAAAGAAACGAATATACAATGGAGATGTCTTTAATTTTTGTTTCCTTTAAGAACTGCAAAAATCTACTTATAAATTAGATTGATTAGTTTTGAATGGAGAATTTATCAATGTTTTTAAAGAAATCCATTAATATTTGAAATGATTAACTATTAGGCAAAATTTGGATCCAAATAAAGTTGCCATTTGAATTTTATTAAAAAAAACTTTGTATCTGTGAATGGGGGTGGGCAGGAAGTTTTTATGAGAGACATTGAGATATTGGGATCCTGTTCTGTAGGAAGAAAAAATTTAATTTGGATATTATGCTTTTGTTTCATAAAATGCATGTGCAACCTACATTGCTATTTAATGATTTTTTTTTTTTTTTTTTTAAATAGATTTATTGATGCATCTTGTCAAAAATTGCAGAGAACACCTGCAATTTTTGTGCTAGAAACATTTAACAGCAAGGATTATATGTGAAATGTTTGTACACTTGAGCAACAGATGTTTGATTTGTTAAAAAAAAAATATTGTAAATATATATTTTTTTTCTACTCGTGTTACTCATTTTTCTTTACTATCTTACATTCAGCAATTCATACCATTTGTATGATGGTTATACTTAGTGATAGATAAATTACTATAAGTTGAACAATATGCCAAAGTTCTCAAAAGGTTAAAAAAAAAAAAAAAAAAATCCACGATTATAAAATTGACTCTTGAATATGAGAAGCTTTCTCTTATATTCAATGCTGTTTTTTCCAGGCAAGTCTAACATCTCGTTGGGCACACACAATGTCATTAGGGTGGTTTAAAGGACATAAACGAGTTGAATTTGTGCGTATGCGAGGTCCTCATGGAAAAGGATTTGCTGAAATGGCAGTTAGCAGGGTGAAAGGATCTGGTCCTGAGACCCCAGATATGGAGAATTTCCCTGTTGATGATTTTGAAGATGAGGTCAGTCAATATTTCTATTCTCTTATGATATATACTGAATCAAAAAATTTAGTTTTTATGTTTCTCTTGATGTTTTGCTTGTGGATACTTGAATCAATGTTTCTGGACATGTCATGATTTGCCAAGACGATTTTCTCAAATTTAAACATCAAATGATATTCAACTAAATTCAATTTCAGCAACTACCAACATTTAAAGAAAGTTTTGCAGAAAAAAAAACTTGTGACTTTGACGTAATGTTTAGTCTCGTTTAACGGTTTAAGATGAGGAGACTAAATGAAAATGTATAAAGACATTTTTGAGTGGCGGTTGGAGAAGACAAGAAAGCAATCAGAAAAATAGATATTAATTATCCTCTCTACTTCAGTCAGTTTCAGCTTTTCCTCCAGGAAGTCTGAAACCTAAGAATATTTAATCATTTCCAGAGAACATTTTAAAGAATTAATGTGCATGTTTTATAGACAGAGAATTTGGAAATTCTACTCTTTTACATCTGACAATCAGTATAAAAAATAAAAAAAATAAATTTATATGTAGTCTGGGAATTAAAATAAGCAGTAAATATATACATAAACATAACTTTTTAAATATTCCATTTTTTGTTCTTTCCCCTTTTGCTTTGTTGAATGTATTTTATTTATCATTTAATGCTATAGAAAATTCTTAAATATATAAAAATGCATTTAGCATAAAGTCCAAAAGTCAAACATTTTGCTGAGAAACTTTTTGTTGTTGTCAAAAGGAATTTTACTAGCAGGAGTTTTCATTGAGGGGTATGTCAACAGAGATTTTTTTTCTTCTAATTCAGTTCTTAACATTCAAGTCAATAAGTTATCTCGATTGATTGATTGATTATTTAAAGCTTAACAAAAGCAATTATTTTTCCAAATCATTCTAAGAACATCATATAAAACAAATCTGCATTTGTCAGTTTCTATTAAATGTTTTCATTTTTTTTATACTATAAACTTTTATATAAAAACAATAAACAATGTTTTTAGTTTTTTTCTAAGAATATGAAGCAACCTTATAAATTGTGAGCATTAGACTGCAAATAATCTAAATTATCTGTATTTTTGTATTTATCAAGCAGCCACTTCAATCTTTCAATGACTTTATTGGTTACACTTGTTAGTAGAAAATGTATTTTTCACTATACACATTTTAAATCCATTTTCTTAAAGTAACTCTTATAGAAATTTTTTTATATTTTGGCCAGTGAGTGCACATTTATCTTGGTATAATTAAAACTATTTGACAGAAACATAAACTATTTTTAAATGGTTAAAAATTAAACTTTAATTTTTTTTCTTTACACAACAGCAGTCACTAAAGTTGGTTTTAACCCATATTGTATAATATATTTTTAAAAAATATTCAGCAAAAATCCTGTCAGTAAAATATCTTTTTAAACAATTGTTGTTGATAGAAAAATCTATTTGACAAAGTGTTTATCAGTAAAAAGTCCAGACATGTGAGTCTGTTTGTTTTTTTTTTTTTTTTCAGCCCTATAATTAAAGACCTATTAAATTAAAATTATATTCATTTGATGACTTTTTATGGATATTAGAATATAGGTGTCAATATTTTACAAATTCTAAACTTATACCAGAAGTGTTTCTAGTGGATCTGGAAAATTAAATGAAGTAGGGAAGGTGAATTTGAAATAACTATAATTCTCGATCTATCCAGTGGAGATGTTTTGTATATTTTTTTTTTTTTTTTTTGCAGAATTGCTTTTTCTAAATAAAAAATGACCTTATTGGTCTCCATTTGATAGTAATGGCTAAAACGTCAGAGCACTTTTTTCTGTTGTCTTAATGTGTGCATTGACTGTTAACAACTAACTTTAATTCTGTTCTGCATGCTAATGGAATACAACTGTGGAATGCATTGTCTGCAAGTCTATAAGTTCACTGTGATTGCTTTTCATTTGAATCCTGTCAAGCATCAAATGCTGCTTATCACTTGAACTATTATTATTTTTTTCAGGATGATACAATGGCCGGAAAATTATCCAAGGATGACAAAGTGAGCCTAGTGTTTGTTTTGGGGTTATCAGGTTTTATATGCAATTTGATTGCAAAAACTGATCCTATTTTTTTCTCCCCTATTTTTGAATAAATGTAAAGAATAAAAGGTAAAACTAGGGTTCATAAATCCAGATATTTATTTTCTGCTTTTTTTGCTATTTTCTGCTTTTTGCTATAGGGCTGGGCATGAATATTCTAAAATATGTTAAAAGTATGAGGAAAAGTAAATTAAACTAAATAAGATTGGGTAATTATTACAATTTATTGCCTAATAGGTAATTATTTGTTTGGTATAGTCTGATGCTCAAAAGAAAATATAAGATTAGGTGAATATTACTCCTATTTTGGTTACATGGGCATGTTAGACGTCTGACACTACTTGTTAGAATAGATAGTTTTTGTCTGGGCTAAAATACAAAATACTGTAAAAACAGATGTTAACTTAAATTGGCATCCACTTTTCTTCTCTTATTGTGAAACTGCAAGACTGACAGTTTTGTTTTGTAACACTTGCTATGAATGTGATTAGAAAAACTCAAATGGCCTCAGTGAATTTCTTGCAGATTTTTATGCTAGTAAATGGTTTCTTAGAAAAGTGTTGGTTTGTCTAAGTTCAGAATTCCTTGTTTTAAAAATGCTGTCTTTAATTTCTATTAATTTTCAACGTTTATTTCTTTATCTGAAGCTTGTCAACTCGATTTCTTTATTTACTTCAGGTTCCACTTTTTTCTTCAATTTACAAATTTTAATGCTTTTTTTAAGTGACATTAATAGATGTAAATTATATATGATAAAAATATAGTTTTAAGGTATAATATATTTATGGATAAAAGGATAGAACATATGTAAATATAAAAGTGGACACAGGTCAACATCAAGCGGCAAGTCTTTCATGCTTGAACCCAAACTTAAAGCCATCACTTGTTTAGGCCTGAAGATTGCACTCGAGCATGAAACACTGTTGCCACTCTGTGTTGATCTCAGTGTCCACTTATATTATAAAAAAAAATTCTTAAGGGAATTTGAATTTTCATCTCATAGCATCATAAACTCAGTATTTTGTCAGTATCTTTATAATAGGAATTACTTTGAACTTTGTCTTTTTGGGATTTTATTGAAATGTCCATATAAAAACTTCTGAATTGTGATTATTTTTTTTTACTATTATTAATGTCACTTGATCTGGAAAAAAATGCTAAAAGCATGTCAAATTGCTGCAAAATTATGTTTCCTCCTTTCAAGGTAGGGAAAGTTGATGAAATTTGATTGCATGATTAAACAAATGAATACTTTGATCTCAGAATACTAAACTTCCCCCTGCTTCTCTTCTTGCTCAGAACTGATTTAATTCTTTCTTTCTTCTTGGTTTGCTTGCTTTAAAGAGGAGATTGCTGCAAATAAAGATGATTCAGAACATGAAATTCTTAAATGCTGAAGTTTTTAATACTTTGCTTGTTTTACTTTCAGCAAAACTCTTACAATGAACGCAGAATGAGTGACCCCAGTTCCACAGTTGGCTCTTTTATGCGAGGAAGTTTCCGCAAGCTCAACATTAAGAAGTCTCGGTCTGAAACTGAAAATGTAGATAACATTGGAACAGACAATTGTCATGAAGTTGAAGCTGCTACAATACAAGATGGTTAGAAAGTTTTTTTTCATTATACTTTATATTCTTTTATTATTATGAAAATCTCTTTATACATTGCCATATGATTTTAATGTTCTTATTTTCTTTCACTGACTGGATGAAAGAGCCATGACAGTAGTTATTTTTTAAACTTAATAGGATTTCTAATTTGTCATTCAAGGATCATATTTTCTGAGTAGTTGAGATTTAATTCTGTAACATTTAATTTTTGTGTTTTTTATTTTTGTTTAATATCTGTAAAAAAAATTTTTATTTTATTTTTTTTTTTTTAATTTTTTTTTTTTTTTAATTTTTATTTTTTTTATTGCAGTTATAATTTTTAAGACCCATATTTTCTTTTGTTTTAATTTTCATTGATATTGACCAAGAACGTTCTAATCAAATTCTGCCAGCAATGTTATCTTACCATGGTTCCATACAAGATTCTTCCAGAGATCAAATCTTTAAAAGAACAGTAAAGATTAACATTTAAATTTTATTGCAATGAAATCGCTTTATTCAATCACTTTAATCTTGTAATTCTACATAATTACTAGTTAAATGTAATTGCTTAAAATCAAGTGATAATTGCAAGCCCTTGAAAAGTTCTTTACTGATTAATCTGTTTTTAACTCCTCTCACTTTCTGGTTTTCTCAGTACTGAGTGTATTTTTTACTGTGACAAGTCTGGAAGAGTTAAATAATTTGCTTTGGGTTTTAATTAATTTTGCCTTTGCATTTTTTTTTTTTTTTTTTTTTTTTTTTTTTACCCTTTCCTCCTGGTATCATGTTAAACTGACACCTTTTCCATATCTGAAGTATAATTATAAACTATAAAAATGAAAAGTGAAAATTTCACTGAAATATGTTGGAAAATTTCCAAGTTTTCATTTGAAATCATGAATATATTAATTTTAAGCAAGATTATCCTAATATATGTGGTGGTGGGGGGGAAACTTCCATTTACTGACACTAGAAAGATATGTGTTAATCTGTTTTAAGCCTTTTTGTTTTCCCTTTTGAGAAATACATTTGTTTTAAATCTAAATTCTATTGTCATTGGTCAGCTCCCCACTGTTCAGTTATTTTTAACCTTTAAGACTTGTCTATTCAAAAGAAAGTTCACACTTCAAACTGAAATGCAAATATGGCTAATATTGCAGGATGCAACATTAAAGACAAATAGATCTTAGTCATGTCTTAAGTGAGTATAGAATAAGGAAAATTGTAGATGGAATGTGTTGACAGTTTTTTCTTTCAATGAGGTGGGCCAATTTGCTTTGAAACCAGAATTTAAAATCCTCTTGGTTATTTTTTTTTCTAATTCCAGTTATTAATTTATTCTGACTTATAAAGTTAAATGTTTACTCAGAAATATTTGTTACATTAAAATAAAGCTAATTCTTATTTGAATAAAATGGTTATCTTAAGACATTTACATTGATATTGAGTAAAATCCTTAGTTGATCATTCAGGATCAGTGTTGTAATTGTTTATTTTTATTTTTTTTTTCTGCTAAAAAAAAATGTGTAAGCAGGAGCAGACAAAATATCGGTGTCAAAATTATCTTTTACTTGTGTAAATCCATGCTACTTCTAAAATCTTATCACCAAAATAGAAATTGTTTCCATTGATTTACTTAATCTTCAGACTGCAGACTTCTGATAGTTTCAAGATGGAATATTTTATAGGAGAGACTTGAACCTTTGGCTTATTGTTTGCTTTTTAATTTTTTTTTTATTCTGTCATTTAACTTTCTGTACTGTTATCTGTATAAGCTCTGCTGCTGGTGATGTTTCATGTTGTTCTTTCTCTTTTTTTTCTCTTTTTTTTTCTTTCTCTTTTTTTTTTTTTCTTTTTTTTTCTTTCTTTTTTTTTTCTTTCTCTTTTTTTTTCTTTCTCTTTTTTTTTTCTTTCTCTTTTTTTTTCTTTCTCTTTTTTTTTCTTTCTCTTTTTTTCTTTCTCTTTTTTTTCTTTCTCTTTTTTTTTCTTTTTTTTTTTCTTTCTCTTTTTTTTTCTTTCTTTTTTTTTCTTTCTCTTTTTTTCTTTCTTTTTTCTTTTCTTTCTTTTTCTTTTCTTTCTCTTTTCTTTTCTTTCTCTTTTCTTTTCTTTCTCTTTTCTTTTCTTTCTCTTTTCTTTTCTTTTCTCTTTTCTTTTCTTTCTTTTCTTTTCTTTCTCTTTTCTTTTCTTTCTCTTTTTTTTTTCTTTTTCTTTTCTTTCTCTTTTCTTTTCTTTCTCTTTTCTTTTCTTTTCTTTTCTTTTCTTTCTCTTTTCTTTTCTTTCTCTTTTCTTTTCTTTCTCTTTTCTTTTCTTTCTCTTTTCTTTTCTTTCTCTTTTCTTTTCTTTCTCTTTTCTTTTCTTTCTCTTTTCTTTTCTTTCTCTTTTCTTTTCTTTCTCTTTTCTTTTCTTTCTCTTTTCTTTTCTTTCTTTTTCTTTCTTTCTCTTTTTTTCTTTCTCTTTTCTTTTCTTTCTCTTTTCTTTTCTTTCTCTTTTCTTTTCTTTCTCTTTTCTTTTCTTTCTCTTTTCTTTTTTCTTTCTCTTTTCTTTTCTTTTCTTTCTTTTTCTTTTCTTTCTCTTTTCTTTTCTTTCTCTTTTCTTTTCTTTCTCTTTTTTTTTCTTTCTCTTTTCTTTTTCTTTCTCTTTTCTTTTCTTTCTTTTCTTTTCTTTTCTTTTCTTTTCTTTCTTTTCTTTCTCTTTTCTTTTCTTTCTCTTTTCTTTTCTTTTCTCTTTTCTTTTCTTTCTCTTTTTCTTTCTCTTTTCTTTTCTTTCTCTTTCTTTTCTTTTTCTCCTTTCTTTTCTTTCTCTTTCTTTTCTTTCTCTTCTTTCTTTTCTTTCTCTTTTTTTTTTTTTTTCTTTTTCTTTTCTTTCTCTTTTCTTTTCTTTCTTTTCTTTCTTTCTCTTTCTTTTCTTTCTCTTTTCTTTTCTTTCTCTTTTCTTTTCTTTCTCTTTTCTTTTCTTTCTCTTTTCTTTTCTTTCTCTTTTCTTTTCTTTCTCTTTTCTTTTCTTTTTCTTTTTCTTTCTCTTTTTTTTCTTTTCTTTTTCTTTCTCTTTTCTTTTCTTTCTCTTTTCTTTTCTTTCTCTTTTCTTTTCTTTCTCTTTTCTTTTCTTTCTCTTTTCTTTTTCTTTCTCTTTCTTTTCTTTCTCTTTTCTTTTCTTTTCTCTTTTCTTTTCTTTCTCTTTTCTTTTCTTTCTTTCTTTTCTTTTCTTTTCTTTTCTTTTCTTTTCTTTTCTTTTCTTTCTCTTTTCTTTTCTCTTTTCTTTTTTCTTTTTCTTTCTTTCTTTTTCTCTTTTCTTTTCTTTCTCTTTTCTTTTCTTTCTCTTTTCTTTTCTTTCTCTTTTCTTTTCTTTCTCTTTTCTTTTCTTTTTCTTTTTCTTTTCTTTTCTCTTTTCTTTTCTTTTCTCTTTTCTTTCTTTCTCTTTTCTTTTCTTTTCTCTTTTCTTTTCTTTCTCTTTTCTTTTCTTTCTCTTTTCTTTTCTTTCTCTTTTCTTTTCTTTCTCTTTTCTTTTCTTTCTCTTTTCTTTTCTTTTTTCTTTTTTTTCTTTTTCTTTTCTTTCTTTTTTCTTTTCTTTCTTTTTCTTTTCTTTCTTTTTTCTTTTCTTTTTCTTTTCTTTCTTTTTTCTTTTCTTTTTCTTTTCTTTCTTTTTTCTTTTCTTTTCTTTCTCTTTTCTTTTCTTTCTTTTCTTTCTCTCTTTTCTTTTCTTTTCTTTCTTTTCTTTCTTTTTCTTTTCTTTTCTTTTTTCTTTCTCTTTTCTTTTCTTTTCTCTTTTCTTTTCTCTTTTCTTTTCTCTTTTTGATTTAGATGAATTTTAAATTATAATTTACAAAGTTTGTCAAAATAATTAATAACTGATTTGTGACAGGGTCAGTAGATGTATTCAGATGTTATCAAGAGGAGGAGATTATGAATATGTGTGCTACTCTAAAGCATTCTTGCCTGCCAATGAAGAGTACAATATGGATGTAAAGGAATGCCAGATAGTCTTTTAGGCAAAACAATCGTAAGGGCCAAATGAGGTATATTGATTAGGAAATAGAAACCACTGAACAGGTCCTTAGCAAAGACCCACAGTAGAAGCTTATTCTGAGGAATGCTTTCACAATATAAGTTGCCAGCTAATAGATAATTGCTCTGAAAACTTTGACAGCTTCAAACTGCCAAGTCAGATTGAAGTGCTCTTTAGAAAGAGATTCAAATCTGCTAATCAGAAAATCTTTCATACTCAAAAGCACAAAAGCTTCCACTATAGTTTTAGTGTTTCTCAACTTGAGAAATGTTAAGAGTTAATAGCCTTATCAGTCAAACATGCACAAGTAAATGAGCAGTTTTAAACCAAAGTGCAAGTTGTGGAATTAAAAAAAAAAAATGGATTATAAAAAGCAAGTATTGGAAAATAGAGAAGAGAAAATTGAAAGAGAATTTATGGACGGGATCACATTTAGCTACTGTTTGATCAAGGGCTGAAAGAAATTGAAAATTTGAATAGTCATTTTAGAGTTTCAATAAACATCCTCCACAATGTCTGTCATGATTTAATAACCTGTTAAACTAAATATTGAAAGTGTTAAGCTGTGTAATGTCTCGGGGGGAAAAAGCACTTTATAAAATACCTGAAAATCTTTTGAGTATGTGTTTTGTCCATATAATGTAATGCAAGGAAATTCTCTTATTTGTTTGAATCTACACAAATTTTGTACCTATTCAGTTGTTACACTCAAAATATTTTCTTTCATGAACAAGTCTATTTATTTCTACAGCTGAAGATATTTTAATTTGGAACCAACTGGTTGCAAATTTTTGTGTCCAGATCTCTTCATGTATCAACTTCTTCTCACTGTCCAATTAAGATAAAAGAGTTCAATTTTTATTTTGTACAATATATCTGCAATAATTTCAGCTAAATTGAATCTTTAGTTTGAGGGGTCTCCCCCATATACATTTGACTAGAAAGTTTTAATTTATAAATAAAATTTGAATTCACTCACAATGTTTCAATGGAGGGTGTTGAATTGTAAACATCAGTGATTGTACATTTTTAGTTTCGATTGGACTAACATTTATTATATTGAGTGTGAAATTGTGTGTGTGTGTGTATATATATATATATATATATATATATATATATATATATTCAACTTGGTGTTTGCTGATGTTTTGTTATTTAGCAGTTCTGAAAGTCTAAGAAAAAAATTATGTAACTTTTTATTATTTTTATTTGTTCTTTAATCTAGTTAGACTTTATAAAATGCTTTTAACTTCTCTTTTGCAGCTACTGCTACTTTTACTTTATTTTTAATATGAACAAATATTTTGCTTTTGTTTTTTGCTGTCATTTTTCTCAATTTTCTCTAGGGGATCAAAAACATGCCGTCCAGTCGATCACTCATATACTGTGTTGTGTTTGCCCACAATGTGGTAGGTCTGTTGTTTGGAGCACTGTTGCTTGATTTCTTTCCAATGCTCCTTTCACCACTAGCTGAGCCACTACCTCTTATAGCTATGGTTTTTCATTAGTTACAATGAGGAGCTTTTTATTAGTTAGATTCTGGAAGTTGTTGTCTGTATCCAGCAATGCAAATTGCATTTGCACAACCCTTTTAACTTCTATAGAAATAATTAGATTTATATCTAATAAGATTTTTTTTTCTCTAACATATCTTAATGCTTAAAATTTACTGATACTTAATGTTATTAAATTAATAATGTCTATATAAAAAGGCAGAAAATATTTTGAATTTTATTAAAAAAATGCTAATCAACTTGATATTTTGTGTCTTTTATTTACTTCCCTTTGTTTGATGCAGTTTGTCTCCTTCACTCATTGTGTGTCTGTTATTCTTTTATTAAGAGTTGAAAATAAAACTTCCTTGTGCACTTGATCTGTTGCTAAAAACAAAACCTTTTTTAAAAGTTTGAAATTTTTTAATGTGTTTTTTATAAAGCTGATCAATATAGTAAAGTAAGCTTTTTACAGTCAACCTGCAAATCTTCTATGGCCTCCTACTTACAAAAATATAATTATTTTCTAATTTGAAAATTCTCTATATTAAAAAGAAAAAAGCGTATATGGTAAGATTTTAGTTTTGAATTTCTATGGTTTTTGTCTTCATGAAGAGCTGAATATTTGAGATATGGTAACAATGTGTTGACTTTGGGGGTTTAGAGGGGAGTAACTGAAGAACATGACATTGGAATCTAAAAAGATGTGAACAATCTTTATAACAATTGTGTGTGTGTTTGCTTTTGGTAGGGAACTTGGAATAGTATCTTTCTGTCTCATTATTTAATTTTAGCATTGAATTGAAATCACTGTAAAAGATGTGTTTAGTAGGGTGGAATACAATATTAACTATGGCTTAAAAGTTATGAAGATAACATGTGAAAAATATTCCAAACTGATCAAGTAGACAGTTAAAATGACCAGTTTAGAAACCTTTTCATATAAGCTTGTTGCAGAGTGACTGCATAGACGCAAAAGAGTGAAATACATTGTGTAGAAAGTATTAACTGGGATGTGGAATGACTTTTATCTATTTTGACATTGAGGAAAGCATTAAAAATGGGTGCAGTATTTAAGAATGGCTTGCATAACAAATGTTTAAGATAAGACATTAGATGAAAAAAAAATGCAATTTTTTTTTTTTTTTTTTTTTTTTTTTACATATTCATAAAACACCTGTTTATAATTTGGAAAGTTAATAGTTTTACCTATTAAATTTAGATTTATTTAAAAAAAAAAAAAAACCAAAACTTGTCATTCAGTTGTCATATCCAAAAAGCAATGGGTTAATGTTTTAGCCTTGTACATGGCTACTGTGGAGTTCTTTGATTTTTAAATTCTATTCAAAAGCAGTTTGCCAAGCCCTGAAAGTGATGAATGTAAAGCTGCTACTTTATCAATAAACTGCATGGAAAAAAAAATATTGCCTTTTAATATAATGTAAGGGATAGTTTGATTAGCAAATAAATTTTATAGGAACTTTTAAATTTTTTTTTATTTATTTTTTTTTTTTTTTAATGCTTATTTTCTTTCTTTTCTGAAACAGAAGAAAACAGGTGCATGTATTTAATTTTTAAATGGTGAAATATTACTGACAATATTTAGTTGAAAAGGAAATATTTGCTTTTTGCAAACCCTATGTTAATGTGTTTTTTTTTTTTTTTTTTTTGTTTTTTTTTAAAGACCTTTTGTTGTTTATATATATTTATAATTTTGGGCTTTAGTTTTATACACATAAGTGTTCTGAAAATTTTTTTTTTTCTCTTTTTCTAATTTAGAAATTGTGCCACATGAAGTGTTGCACCAAAATTATATTAATTTTTTTTTTTTATTTTATTTTTTCTTTCAACCAACTTAATTTATTAAATATCAAATATGGTTTTATCTTAAATACTTCATTGTTGGATTTTTCTCTTGAATTATTCAATAAAGTTTTTTTTCTGTTTGTTCCCCATCAATGTGCTTGTTTCGTTTGTTTGTGTTGTTTTTTTTTTTTTTTTTTTTTTTTTTTTAATGCCTGGAATTCTGGTTGGTGACATTATTAAAGTTTACTTTGCATATTTTTCTGAAATGGTCTGTCTAGTTATATTTATTTTATTTCCAGAAGGTTATATGTCTTTACCACTGTTCCTTTACTAGTGGAAGTTAATTAGCCCAGCCTAGTGGTGGCAGGGTGCTTGAAAGGGCTATCTGCACATTTCACACAGCTTTTTTGGTTGTTGGGGCATTGACCTATTTCTCCAAGAAAACAAACATTTCTATTGTTACCTTAAAAATTAATATATTCTTCCAAATCTAATTGATATTTACAAAAAAAAAAACAATTAAATCTTATAAATAATCATAAATGTTTGTTGACTGTTGCAGTTGGCTGCATTTTGAAATTGGGGCTTTATTGTTCTAGTTAAAAAGTGCTGTTTTGTCTTGTAAGATCCTTAAATCAATGGTGCATTATTGCTGCTTTATGTTGAAGAAATGGGTTAAATACTAATGGCTACAAAAATTCCTTTGAAAGTGGGTAATGACAACTGATAAAAATTGCCACTTGAAATGCATGGTACCGAAATGCTAGTCTTTCATGTTACTCAATAACAAACATGCTCATTTTTGTAGAACTTGATTTTGATAATTTCATCTGCTGAATGTTTTTTTTTTCTTTTGCTTAATTCTAATTATTAACATTTTGTTTCTAGCCATTGTTTTTTGCTAAAAGAATCTTAGTCTTTATTTTTATATACATTTTAATTTGAGAATTTCTTTGCATTACTTAAAATAATTTCATGGATATTTTTATGGCATCTTATCACTTTTTATGATGATAATATTATCACAATTATTTTTAATTGTTTTACCAAATTGTCTTAAAATTAATCATTGCATTAAAATCCTTTTAATGCAGAATTTTTCTGTTTGATATCAGTTTTGAATAAGCATTTGTAGAGTTGTTACAAATTTTTACTCTGTAAATTCTTGATGAAAGAGTTTGATTCTTTTAATTATACATATTGTGATGAGATTATATAAGAAAAAAAACTGTTTTCTGAATTCTGCTTTTCTCCTTTCAGAATAAGTCCCAATTGTTTGATTTGAATCTTTGTTACTTAATCTTAGTTTAATACTTAGGCTTGTCTTATTACTCTTCAAGAGAAATAAGTTGGTTTAATTTGGTAAATTATCATGAAAACTATTAGTTTCTTTTAGTATGTCAACTGAAGGTCATCAGACATTTTTCATCATTTTTGTCATTTTCAATCTGCATTGATCAGTTATTGATCACTTTTGTTTACAAGAAAAAA